CCTGACTTAGATCAGCCCAGAGGTTGTTTCAGGGTTCGATAATATTAAAACGTTTTAGAAACATGTCAAAGGGAATCATACATTGCAAAATGGGGGAGAGATTTGGTCTTGCATTAAAATTTATTAGAAATTGTTTACAAGGTTATTTGTTTTAAGCTTGTTTTGGCTCACAAAATGCCTGCCTTTAAATTTTTCTAAGATCTAGAGAAGTCGGATGGAAAATTTTCCTTACCCCATGCAGCAAATACATCAGACTGGAAACATACGACAACCAAGACTAGCGTCTGAATGAGATGCATCTAAAAATAGATAAAACGATGAAAAGATATATAATAAAAAATACACTGAAAGCGTCTTTGTTTGACGGCGAGGGTAGCACTTGATAGCCACTGGTTAACAAAACTTTTGGTCGTCGTACAACGATGAAATTGAAATTTAACATTTAGGTTTTGTTAAGGACGGATAAACGTGTAACTGGTTAAAAACTCTTGAATCACAAAAGAAAGAGCGGCCATCAAGCATCTCCACTTAAGAATGATGGCGAGTGGAGAATAACAATTCAAATGTAAAATTTTATTAACAGAAAAATCAAAGGCAATAACGAAGCGCCGCTTTATGTTTGAGTGGGAAACAACACTGCAAATTCGAAGTTATTAAAGTGTATATCAAGGAAAAAATTTTTATTTTCAAAATCACTCATATGTGAACAGTGTAGTAGTATGGTTGCAGTATTTTTGTATGTGGACTTCTATTTTCAGAGATACAAACATTTGAATTATCAATATGCAAATGAGATGACGTAAACTTCAAGAATGTGTTAGATTTTGAAGTGTAATTTATGACAAGTGTTCTGAAGTGAAACAACCTAAAAATGTACAAAACCATATATTTCAGTTATAAGGATGATTTGCAAATGAAAAAACAGCAGTACTTTCCACAACAGCATTAAATTGTATAATAAATTAGTCTTGAATTTACGTCAACTTTTTTTCCTTGACATACACTTAATGTAGCGCCGTATGGGAACATCGAAATTCGTTTTCAGTGTCCTCTAAGGATTCGATCAGAATGTGTAGATTAGCAGAGTACTATCATGAAGGTGCATGGGAACCCTCTTTCGACTCGAGTGGTAATTGTGTATGAATGTGATTGGAAAAAGTGTAAAAAAATACCAACGTAAGGCCAGGACAGTGTCGGCGGCATGTCGTGATAATATTATAATTTAAAACCGTTCAATGACAATAATGATATTAATGTCATTAAAGAGAGTGTCTAATATTTTAATTAGTCAAGACGTGCAAATCGATCCACCCTTCGGTCCACCCGTAATCGATAACGTTCACCGTAAACGCACACTTTCGAAACGCTTTCCAAAGTGAATACTTCTAAAAACGCCAACGCCTTCCCCTTGGACGGCGTGAACAAGTACTTTCGAAGCATACAGAGTCAGAAAATTGAACTGAGAATTTTCGTAGCGAGTCTTAGAGGCAAAAGCTAGACACCTTGAGTCATCAAATATTAATTCAGACACCCTTACAAAGAAAGATCGAGAAATTCGAGCCAATACACCCTTCTCATTATGGCTGACAAGTGCACGAAAACCAGGTCAACCAATCATTATTTCACGATAAAAGATACAAAATTACATGAAATGACTTTGAAAAAGAAAAGTATAAAAAAATGACCTTTGTTTTGATCTGGATTAGCGCTAACAGCCTTTATTTTGAATGAGCAGCTTGGCTCAACCTTGCAAGATGACTGGGTGAGCTCGTTTCCGTGCGTTCATCAGCCATTATGAGAAGGGTGTATGACGGTGGCAATTAAAAAGGTAGAAGAGAAGCTATGAATGACGTTTAAAAAGGTTTTAGAATGATACGTACGTTCTACAGTAGGTTGAGATGGGAAAAATGTCTGAGCTTGCACCAAGAAAAATATTTGTTTATCTAAAACCCAAAATCAAATATAGTGACTGATTATGTTATAAACTGAAGAAAAGCTTTTTTTAAAACAATGTCATCAAAATCGAGAGTGTCTCTCGTTTCTCCTGTTTTTAGTCCACTCTCCTCAAAACCTAACACGCCAAATTCAAATTTGATCTGTGGGTTAGCCGTGCCCTGGCTTAGATCAACCCAAAGCTTTTCCCAGTGGTGGATCTGTAAGTTAGGCCTGTTCTTGCTTAGCCTAATTTGCTTAGATCAGCTTAGAGCTTGTTCAGGGTTTTGTCTGTGAGTTAGCCGTGTCCTAATGCTTAGATTAGCCCAGTGCTTGTCCCAGGGTTTTATCTGTGAGTTAGCTATGTCCTCATGCTTAGATTAGCCCAGAGCTTGTCCCAGGGTTTTATCTGTGAGTTAGCTATGTCCTCATGCTTAGATTAGCCCAGAGCTTGTNTATCTGTGAGTTAGCTATGTCCTCATGCTTAGATTAGCCCAGAGCTTGTTCAGGGTTTTGTCTGTGAGTTAGCCGTGTCCTAATGCTTAGATTAGCCCAGAGCTTGTCCCAGGGTTTTATCTGTGAGTTAGCCATGTCCTCATGCTTAGATTAGCCCAGAGCTTGTCCCAAGGTTTGATAAAGCTAAACATATTCACTAGTTGGTATAAAGAAGCACTTACCTTGTAGCGAAACAAGAAAGAATAAACTACAGACATCGTTTAATCAACGTTATCAAGTCCGGGGCATGTGGTTAAAAAAATCATGTTCTCCAAGTCGGTTTATATTTTTAGATATCTAATTAATATAACTAATTGACCCGGAGGCAATAAAATTTCCAGACCACGTGTCACTCTGTATCGTTAATTTGTCTCTGAATATTCTTATTCTAGTATTTTGAGGGTTTCTTCTTCTTCTTCTTCTTCTTATCATTATTATTATTATTATTATTATTATTATTATTATTATTATTATTATTATTATTATTATTATTATTATTATTATTAATCCAAGTTGCAAGTTGAATGTATAGCACGAATTAGCCAATAGGTAGAATAGCCAAACGAGTAACGAGTAACGCAAAAGAAGAAACAATAATGTAGACAAGAACGTCTCCTAAATTCAACACTCCAAGAGTCTAATTCCCTCCCACCTCCCTGTCTAGAGCCACCAACACGTGGTCTGAAATAAGGCGAATCAACCGCACCGCATGGCACGGCACGGCACGGCACGGCACAGCGATCTGCCGTGATCTGGCAAATTTTTACTACAGACTCAGTAAAGACTAGATTTTAGGATTCCTGTGGACGCGAGCAGATCGGAGCATAGTAGTCTCCACGCTTCCACAGGAATCGTAAAGACTCGTCTTTAGTGTCGAGTCTGGAGGGGAAAGTGGGACTCACTGATCGCATTCTATTGCAGACCGCGTGTCGTTTCCTAGAGAATATAAATATTTAATTCAGTTGTATCCATATTCCGGTCTCTTCGCGTGTGCAACCGTTAAACAAAGAAATGATACTATTGGGAATCAATGACACGTGGTCTGAAACGGTGAAACACTTTAAAAAGACGAATGGATTGTCTTCTTCGAAGAAGCGTTATTTATGTTGAATCACAAGGCACTATAAAAATAAAATTAAAAATAAATCGCTTTTATTTAAGTGTCTAGCCGTTCTAGCGCTTTCGCACTAATTGGGGATACTTTTTGCTCACACGCACTACCACTACATTCAATATTCTATGCGCACAACAACTCAATGCTCGCTCAACTTATTGATCGTGCAATTTTCGACTTTCACATCCCCATAATGCCTTGCGTCTTTGGGGGGTAACCAATCAAAAAACTGCCCCAAATTGAAAGGTTTCTTAATTAAATTTATACTATACCTGCTTTTATCTGTACAATACTGATTATCAGTTTATTCCAAGTTATTTTTGCGTGTACAGATCATGAAGAGTTTTGGTCTTACAGAAAATGTATTGACATACGAAAATTACCTTAAACGTCTTCAAGCTTCTATCTTTTTCTGTTTTTTACTTCTTCATTTTATTTTTGGATACCAAACAAGGTATTGTCAACATTGTCTGATCAGCCTTCAGCAAAATAAGTGGGTTTTTACCCTCTGGTTACCCCCCAAGACGCAAAGTATTAGAGTGAAGTCATTAAAACCGTCCAATAGATATTAGACTAACACACATTAGTACCCTAAATGCATTGTTTTCTTTTGTGTCTATTTGACTATTACACGTTGACTAATAATTTTTATTTCACGGGTTAAATGCCTTCACTCTATGGGGGTGTGAAAGTAGAGAATAAAACTTATTTCATTACAAAACTATTATCCATTCCGGGATTGAGGAAAAACTGGGTCGAGATAGCAATACACTGAGTACACCATGATGTGCCAACACAGTTTTATAGGACAGTTTATAGGAAGAATCTATTCCGTCCCCTAAAACCCACCCATAATGCACTGCAATGACAACTCTACCGGACAAGTTATTTCATTAAACTCGGAATGCATGGCTAGAGGGGGGTTCATAGCAGCTATGTCATGGGGCTGGGGGGGAAACACAGGGAGTTTAGGATGGAAAAAAAGTTCTTTATTAAGAGTAAAAATTTTTTATTATTATTGCTGAATTTCATACATGTTTTTACAAATTATTCTGAAAACCCTATCAAACTTTGTACTGAAAGAAGTTACATGAAAAGTAGTTGTTTGAAAACTTCAGTCAGTAGATCTAGAGTAGCTATATATTCCTATCTCTACTACGTAACCTACAGTCTAAACGGTCAGTTAGTTTTGCAGAGGTAGGTTTAAGATTTAGTTGAATGCAGATTTGTACAGTTTAGTTTAGTTTACGATTGAAGTTTTGTTTAGGAGTTTAGTTTGAGATTTTGTTGAATTTTAAAGTTGAATTTTAAAGTTTATTTAGTCGTTTACTAAGTTTAGAGTTTGTTCTTTAGTTTGGTTTAGGGTTAGGGTTAGGGTTATTATTAGAGTTTAAGTTTTTGGCTTGTTTTATTAGTTTAGACTTCAGATTTTTGTTTTAAAGACTATAACCAAAGATTTAACGGATGATGTTAACGAAGACTGCAGACACTCCATGCATTGCCCAATCTGAAAGAAAAAACGAAGATACATCCACGTAAGGTCAAGTAAATATTTCAATTCAAAATAAAAAGTCAATGGAATGCACGCACTAAAACCTTGAACATTAAATAGTACTAAGTACTATTTCATACAGTTCATAATTCATAATCCTTTGTTTTCTATTGTTTAATTATCACTATTTAGTGCTAAAAATTAGTATTTGTTTCACGGATTTAGTGTGTGCACTCTAATTCAACACACACACAAAAACTTTATAATAATAAATAGTATTTCAGGTTTACCAAATCAAACCTAGAAGTTTCAGTTGAATCCCTCTTTTGGATGGAAAACACGTGTGATAGACGCTGCCTTGCTGTAAAAAGAAATCAAGCAGAAATAGAAAAAGAAAGATTTGAGGATTGCAAATGAACAAAAACAGAAAATCGACAACGATCAAAATTTTAGAAAACAATACTCTGGACGCTAAAGTAAGTAACACAAGGTTCTTGAAAGCAGCCACTGATATGTAGTCTTCTGACAACTGGAGTAAATTCGGTGCAGTGTGCAGGCAATCCGACTTCGTTGTTATAGTTACAGATGCAGTGATACTTGACATATGGCAGCTGAAATCTCGGTTCGCATAGGTCCAACAGATCCTGAAGATACGGACTAGAAGAAAGAAAGAAAAGAAAAAATATATTTAAAAAGTTTGGAATTCAAAATAAATTCAATTTCCTTTTTTTCCTAATATTGTTTGTTTGTTGTTGTTTTTTTTTTTTTTTTTTTTTTTTTTTT